ACTCCAAAAATATTTATAAAGTGATGTATTACTTCTGTAAGTAGTATTGGTGAAGGACAAGGTATGTTGATACCACCTTGTCTTGAAAGAATTTTTAGTACTACCAATACAGAATTTTTCAACCAGTTGAAAAATTATATATCTTTGGTATTCTTCTCCACCATTTTGTTTCACATCTTTTTTTATTCTTCAGCTGAGCTCTGAAGAGTGAGGAAGAATAATTTTTTTTATAATTTTTCTTTTCTAATTCACCACCTTATGGTAATTTTTTCTTGTTTATTTTCTGATTACATTGTTATATATACATTTTTTTTTTACTGTAACAATGTTTGCACCCTAAAAAATATTTACATTTCACACAAATTTCCTTGAAAATTAGCATTTTTAATCAAATTTGATATTTTCAACACTATTGCATCTTGCAAACAGTCTGACCAAAAAAAAAATGTTTTTTTAATCCCCACAAAGTGCATTTTATCTGTTTTGATATTTCTTACGAGTTTGTTCTTGATTTAAATACTCACCAATTCTATCATCATCTACAATTTTCTTCTCTCAAGCCAAACTGTATAAAAAGAGGATTCTTTCAGTATAGCAGTATTGTAAACTACCAAACTACTTTTGTGTATACCGTAAAAGGTATAGTTTTCAAGCAGAAAAAAAAAAAAAAAAAATTAAAATGATCATTTTTAGGTTTGGACAAATATTTAAAAAATAATTTAAATCCTTTTCTAAATTTATTGGATGTTTCAAAAATTAGTTTTAATAAAAAAAAAAAAAAACCCTTTAGAAATTCAAGTTTCCAAAATTAAAAATATTTTGTCAAATACTGACATTCCTTTCATTGAAAAGCATACACGCAAAGTGTATTTTTAAATAAATAGCTTCTTGGGCACTCCGATATTGTGCAATGGTTAGTAAGCTTGTACCACTCAATCAATTACATCCGAGTAGTGAGTTCAATCCTCAGTGGGTGCTCCCTGTTTTCAGACTTGTGCCACATCAAGGCTATGCTTAGAAAATCAATGGGCACCTCGATGTGGTATAATGGTTAATGAGATTGTATCGCTAGATCAATTACATCCGAGTAGTAAATTCAATCCTCACTGGGTGCTCCCTATTTTAGGCCTTGTGTAAATTATAATGAATAGTTTTTTTTGTGTGTGTCATGTCCTTTCAAGGACCTGGGAAATCATGGTTCACCACAATGTTCTACATTTATTATTATTGAATGGTCACTTTCAAACATTAATCTTAATTCAATATACACTTTTACATTTCTTTTACAGTTCATTAGCAACATAGGTCAAAATAATTTCAAAGGAATGTGACATTTAAAAGCAAAAAGAAATTTGTTGATTATTGGACTTTTTCCAATTGAATTTTGAGTGTATAAAAAATCAAAAATAATGAATCAGAAATGTCACTTTGTTTTTGTCTTTGCATGGAGAAAATGATAAAAGCTGAAATAAGTGTAGTTATTTAATTTTTCTTAGACAACACTAAACAAGGAGATATAATAAAGAGAAATGTGAACACTATATTGCACTGAACAATAGAGGTAGATCAGTTCACCTATTGTCCTGTTCATACACCTGTCCAGTCTTTTGAACAGGAGTAGAGGTTTATCCTACATATCCTGTTGAAGATTGGGTTTCTGGTTCCTTCTAAATTTTTTTTTTTTCATTCTCTTTCCATCTAGGTATCCCCTTGCATCTTAGTGGCATTATCACCTTGTTTGGGATGGATTAAAAAAAAAATTTTTTAAAATGACCAAAAGGATAAAACTTTTTTTTTTAACCAAATTTAAATTCTATTTTGAAAATCCTGTCAAGATGTAGGATTTAAAAAAATAATCAGATTACTTTTTCTCAAAAAGGGAACCAATTTTTGAGCAACTCAACACAATCATTATTAAAAAAAAATGGTGAGACAGAAAAGTACTAGGAAGAGGAAAAAAGTCAGTTATGTCCTGACCCCAAAAAGAAGAGGTATTGAGCAAAATTTCATGGGAAAATTAGCTCAGGGGGAGGTGTTGTAATGGAATGCCCCACACTCCCTATCGCCTATGTGGACTGACTATATGAGTAGATATATAGTATGCACAGGATATACCTGGTGACTTGCTTCAGGAATTACTAGCTTGCTAACCAATTCCCTGTCTTTCAGTAGTGCATTCTCTTTTACAATAAACCTTTCTTTCATCTACGCTCATGTTACTGTTTGTTTCACTTGAGTACCACCTTTGTCTGTTTCTAACCTTCTTTAAGGATACAACAAAAAAATAAAATTACAGCACAGATCATTCCAAAAATATCCCCAACACAGTGTTCTTTATTTCAAGCCATGAACTGTTGAAATGACAAAAGGATTTTACAATAAAAATTCCTTCAAAAGCTCCTCCTCCTCCTCAATGACCATTTCCAGCAAAAATTTATCACAAAAATCATTAACTGCAATCATTTACAATTTCAATCAGTTCCACAGACTCATTATCCGATCTTATTAAAAAATCCAGTGGAATCAAAAGACGTCACTTTATGATAATGTAATGGCCATAAAGTGCCAAACAATTTTTAAACCATTATCAAGCATCAATGTTTAAATTGTTGTAATCTTTCATGTCCTATCAAGAAACTCACAAACTGTACCTCACCTGTAGGGCAACGGGAATATTATAAACCCTGAAGTACTTCACACAAAAGAAATATATCCATGGTCTAGATATATCCAGATATAAAATAAACAGAAAAGCTTTTGACCATTTTGAATTGGCACGAAAACATTTATCAATGTTTATCTACACACTTTTGTGATTGGTGGAAGTAATTCAGATTCCTACTGAAGCTGTTATAAATTGTGCTCGGTCAAGGAGAAGTGGGTATTTTGTTAGAGTGGATCAATCGCATACAGAGGTGAACTGAATCAGGAAGAAGTTTTCCCAACTTGACTCTCCCTGGAAGGGACAAAAAGGTACTGAACATCTTTATTTGCTTTAGACATCATAAGATCAGAACATACATTTATCGCTACCTTAGATGTGTATATGAACAACTGTAACAAAAATGTACATAAAACATTGTATGTTTTGAAATGATTGTTATTACACAATAATAATTTTTTCTCATATATATATATATATATATATATATATATATATCATAAAGTAATTATACGAAGAATTAATTAGCAATGTTAATGTGATTAATGGCAAAATCATTTCATTAACAAGACTTAATGAGACATTAACTTACTATCAATTTCTTAAATAATGCGATCCTTATATTTAAATTGTCAGAATTGATGATCTTGAGCCAAGTACTTTCAACAATTTCAAATTGTCATCTTCAGGTAAACACGAAGACATTTACAGGTAAGCACCAAGACGAAATGTAGTGTAAACCAAAAGATGTTTTTAAAAATATGCTATTTATTGACAATTATATTATTATGGAATGTGAGGTGTCACAACGCTACAGTTCTTGTTTAAATGATTCAAGTGAGAATGTAAATGCATATATTAAGCCCTGAAAATGACAATTTGAAATTGTCAAAAGTACTCAGCAGAGGATCATCAATTCTGACAACAATTTAAATATAAGAATCGCGTCATTCAAGGAATTCATAAGTTAATGTCTCATTAAGTCTTGTTAGTGAAGCGATTTCACCATTGATCACATAAACATTGCTAATTAATTTTTTGTATAATTATTTTTATGATATATATATATATATATATATATATATATATATATATATATATATATATATATATATAATACTGTCAGAATTTTGGGGATCAAGAGTTATCACAACAAAGATGAGTATAATAGTTTTTGTGTAAATAGTGTAAACACTATAAATTTTTGCACCTCCCCACACAGCTATTATTGATGTATTTAAAGTTAAAACCTTAAAAACAGCATCCCTGTTTCATAAGTTTTATATATCTATTTTGTTTGGTTAAAAAAAAAAAAAAAAGCACAAGATTTCAATTTAAAGCTAACAATAATTTCATATCATTATTTAAACCCTTAGCACTATGCATTATTCACAAGTATTATATCCCTAAACCTTCCTAATTGCATTAGATTAATTCTTAATTTCAGTCAATATTCAGATACCTTTCTCAGGCTTATGTTACATCTCAAACCTTTTCCTTTTGTATTTCTTATTCATCCCAATTCAATCAATAAAAGATGACAACTGTGAAATTCAAACATACCATTGTTTGGCAATCAGAGTCACCTTAAATGGCATGACAAACTTCTTACTTGGCAAATAAAGTTGTCTACAGTGTAAAACGTTAAAACATAATAAGTACATTAATATGAAATGAATATTTTACTTTAAACTGAAATGTTGTTTACACAATAGTTTAAAATAATTATTAGAAATTTAGACAATTTTATTCAGAAGGAAACTAATATTGATGTTATTGATATTTTAAATAAAAGAAATAGTTTCTAATGATTATTGAAAGTGATTTAATGAGATATGAAAAAAAGGTCCCCAGTCACTGATAAAACACACACACAGGTGAAGGAGTGATTGCACAACAATTAGCAAGATCTTCATCCATGTTGCTATACAGGGTTTTCATTGAAAAATTCTTAGCCCAACTTACTTTCCAAAATCTGAACAAATAACTAAACATCAGTTATTTTGGGATTGGGAGAAGGTTTCTTGGTTAGGCTGAGAACTTTTCAACTTATCAATAATATTAAATACTCCACACACCAAACTAGGATTAATCCAGCAAATTACTTGTAAAACACTGTACAATATATTTCTTGTATATTTCATATTATGTAAGTGTTTTGTGCTTGTCATAAATCCCTGTGTAAATCTTAATCACTGAGAATAGAAAGAAATTGAAGCAAGAGATTTGCTGGAATTTTAAACTGATAATTCATAAGGCATATTTGTGCTTTCTAACTGCCTTTGGAAATTGTCACTGGCCCCCTTTCCTTTTTTTTTTTTTCCTGTCATCATGATCATCATCCAGTTTTCCGCATTGTGATCATTGTGTTGATCTCCCAGATAATCGTGCGAATGTGATCAATAATTTCCTTCAGCTGACGACTTTTTAATTGGATTCTCTACAAAGATAACAAAAATGTGCTGTCAAATCCTAAACCAAGAAAAGCTACAAATACCCACTTAATCAAGGGGGTAAATAAAACAATTATACATTTAAAATAGGAACTGATGAGAATAATTGATGTCAAAATTTCATAAAACAATTTTTCTATTAAGTTAAAAGTCATTCAGTAAAAAAAAAAAAAAAAAAAAAAAAAAAAACATTTATGAAAAATTCATCTCACCTCGACCATGTCTCGATGTTCCTCACAGACTATCTGATACAAATTATTCTTTTCTCCATCTCGAAGTGCCTCAATATCATAATCTTTGCCAACCAAGGGGATGACATTCTACAACAAAAGTTTTAAGACAATGAAAACAATATTTTTGTCACAAAACTTACACTGTTTCTCACTCACTCACTCCTCGTAAAAGCTGAACTTCTTCCCTCTCTCTACCCATAATTTTTATTTAACAAAAGACATTTATAGCAAAACTTATAATTTATTCACTTCTATACACCCACTTTACTGAGTATTTATAAAAAAAAAATAGAAATCTTGTCTTGAGAAGAAATTAAGTTAGAACATTTTTTTTTTTAACAAAATGTTAGATTCTTATTTTCTCTTTATGATTGTGTGAGTAACAGATAGTGGCCTGGATTGAGGAATCAGAGAACAGAGTTTAAATTTCAGTAGAGTTCATTGACTTATGTGCTAGTACCTTTGGGAAAGGTATGAATTCATATCTTTCCACACAAGTATGAGTAAACAGCAGCACAGACTGGATTCTATAGCCTTGAGTGGTGACCAGTCTAGAAGGACAAATCTGAATTCAAAAACCTATGGAGGGTCATTTGGAGACCTTGTGCCATACTGTGCACCTGGTCTCTACATTCGGTAGGTTCTGCCCAAAGCCTTCACAACTATAATCAATATGCGTATGTAGTCTGGCAGCTGGTTCCAAGAACTGAAATGTTTGACTCTCATACGTCAAAAACAACAGGAGAGTCCAGAGTGTGTGTGTGTGTATATATATATATATATATATATATATATATATATACACACACACAGGTAATAAATCTGTTGGTATATAATCCAAATGGATCCTAATATCAAATATTAAAACTGATCTGCAAAAAGAGCTCAATGTATTTATAACAGAGCATATAAATTATACAACAAATCCAAAATTACCCCATATGGGGGCGATGGCAGACAGACCTATTTTAGCCAATGCAAAGTACACCAATTGAAAATAGCATAAACTTAATACTACCCATCAAAAGTTTAAATTTTCATTTCATTTTTCGTTTCACCTTTTGAAAGTGATGTCTGAAGATCCGGAGTAGTTTAAAAGGTCTCTGGTGAAATAAACTAAATGAGCCTTAAAGTGGTCCATTTTTCTTTAATATATATATATATATATATATGTATATGTATATGTATGTAAAAGAGAGAGAGGCTTATTTTCTGTGAAAATGAAAAAACAGAATGTCCTACTTGAAACAGAAATCGCAATTTTAAAATGGAAATTTTATTTCTAACAATTAGATTTATCAGCTACCATTTTTATTTGTTACTATGTTTGCCTTTCCTAAATTACTCAGGCAGATATCAAAGGATAAAGTCGGTAATGTTTTTTTAATATATCAACTTATCTACTGTCTCCCTACAGTTTACAGTACTATTTAAGAACCAAGTTTTATGAAGTTTGCTTGATTTAATAAACAAAAAAAAAATAAGACCTAGTAGGCAAAATAAAAATGTTTGTCTTTTTATTTTATCCAATCTTTTTCCTACCCCCATATGGTGATGGTGGTGCAGTGTGTCATTTCAGAAAGCCAAATTTTATGAATTAGACATTTTTCAAAAATTTTAATAATTTTACTTTCTTGCTTTAATAACATTTATATTACACTTTCTCACTAAGTATTATAATGAAGCAAAAGACATAATTCTGTATTGAAAATGGAAAAATATATATATATATATATATATATACACACACACACACACGACTGGTACCTCATGGCATAGAAGGCCTTTTTTAGGTTTCTGTAATAGAATTTTTTCATGGGGTGTAGGTGATTGGTTTTATGCCTATCCTCTGCACCCTGAGGAAGGGTTGGTTTTCTCTAACAGTTTTCCTTCCATTAGACAACTATGTATGCTAATGCTAATGAGTTCCATCTATGGAGATGTTTAGGGATTCAGAGTTTTCCTCCTCCTAGACTGGTTGTTACCCAAAGCTGAAGAGCTTAATCTTCCCTGCTATTTAACCCATAGATCAGAGAAGTGACAGATTCACCCCTTCCCTAAACGTATTTGCACAAAAGTGAATGTAATAAACTTAGTTGGAATTCAAACTTGGCTGATTTCTCATTCCAAGCTTTTAACCATTACACCACCTGCACACACACATATATATATATATATATATATATATATATATATATATATATATATTTTATTATGGAATATTATATATTTAATATATTTTATATATATATATATATATATATATATATATATATATATATAATCAGGGCTGTAGAGTCAGAAGCAATTAAAGGGTCACTAGAGTCAGAAAAAATATACTGACTCAGACTTCAACTGAATTTACACTTTATGTAAAAAGTCTTACATTACAAAATTTTTATTTTTATTTCTTTGACTGTATATTTACTATTTTCTTTAAAGAAATTCATCTCAGATTCTTTTTAAGTCATTTTATTTTTTATAGTTATTTTGTATTTGCCAAACTATATATGTAAAAAAAAATCTTACATTTTAGAATTTTTCTTTTTGTTATGTCATTATTAATCAGGCTCACGGGCCGGTCAAAATGCCTTCGCAGACCAGATCTGGCCCGTGGGCTGTAGGTTGCCGACCTTTGCAGTACACAGACGTAACAGAAGAAGAAAAGAGCATTATTATAAATGCGAAAAAAATCAGTACTAATACATAAGAATGAGCAATGGATAAAAAATTCTTATGACCAATTTGAAATCACAATGGCACAACTAGACTCAGTGAAACAAAAGTGCTGAAAAACTTTTTGTCATTGATAAAGACTAGACGACATGCATTGAACGGATGTCATCATTTATTAGAAAAGGTACCCCTACCCTACCTTAACTTAACCTCTTTTCGAAAGTAACTCATATTTTGATACAATAGTTGTCAGTGAAAATGAATACCCTACCACCCCTTGTTAAAATGATTGGATTTCCCCATATCCTTAGAAACTAATATTATGAATGTATATGCTTATAAAACTCAGTAAATTTCAAAATAAATTATTCCAAAATTCACTTGAAAATGAAACAAGACTAGGGACTTTAATTCTATAATTGAATTTGAAGTTTTTAGTTTCTGTTTTTGGAACATGGTAATATAAGACCATTTGTTTACTTAATATTAGTCAACAAATGCCACTGTAGAGAAGGCTGCAATAAACTGTATTCAATCTGTACTGAACACAATTTGTTTTCAGTAAATCTCATTGTATCAAAGATTGTTACAATAACAAGTTCTGGTGACTTGGACTATCAACTTCCATCTTCCATTTGTATGTCACTCATAACTGACTTGACTCTAAAAACCAAACCTTCTCTCAACCAATTGTCAACCATTTATACACCTTGGGCTTCAGCCAAACAAAAATGGTAAAAAATGACATCACAGTAGCATTAAGAATAGTCCTCATTCAGCTGTCCAACAACTATCAAAAAGAGGCTCCATTATAAGTTGGTTACAGATCAAACATACATCAGAATTTATCATAATTTAACAATTTCTTAATATAGCTAGCATCTTTTTGAAAACAGTCCCACTAAAAATAAACTTAAGTAAACCAGAAAATACCAAGAAGTCAGTCATATATCCCATAATCCATTAGGGTTATTGAGGCACTACATGTGCTGCAGCCATAGCAGTGGGTGTGTCTAGGGCAAGATAGCCTGACGGAGCTTGTCCCTCTTCAGGCTGGTTTTGAATTCAGAGTTTTCTTTCTCATAGATTGGTTGCCCTACAAAAGTTGAAGAACCCAGACTGCCCTATTATTTATAAAGGTTTCAAAGTTTTCCTCCTCCTAGACTGGCAAAAATGCCAGATGTCTCCACTAAAAATGAGTGAAATCCCTTATCCAAAAACTTTAGAAAAACATTGTATCTTGTTGACAAAATATAAATTATTTTCAATTTTCATGGACAAAATTAAACTGTAATAATTCTTGAAAATTCCAATCTTTCCTTCTACTTACATCTTGTGATAACATTGCCTCTTTAGGGTTGGTGCTTTCTTTTACTTTTTCAGAAATAATACGCAATTTCCGAAAACTGAGATTTAATGACCTCATCTGGTCATCTAGTTTGTTTTTCTTCTCTTGGTGTTGCTGGACACTGTAGGACATTCCATTTGGTAACTAAAAATAAAGTGAAACTTGCAAAATAACTCCATTTTTGCCAATAATGTTTAAAACAAGAATTGAATAAAATAATAATATTTGTTATGCTGAATACAATGGATGGAGATAATGAAGGAAAAAAAAACAAAAGAAAGAAAAATATAAGTAACCAATATTCAATTAACAAATAAAAGCCATGAGAAGTTTTGTTAATGTTTTCATTTTTTGAGGATGATATAAATAAAACATTGAAATATTAAATATCTATGATTCTTACTTGTAATTGAAAAAATTGTTTGCAGATAATCAAAATTATTTTCATCTTTTATTCCAAGATATAGATATGAGTTGTTTGTTAATAATGCTGGGTGGAGGGATCCACCCACTAAAAGAGAGTAATTTTGAAAGAAGGTCTCATTAATATAAAAAATAAAATTGTGAGATTTGAAGGTTTAAAATTGTTTCTGGTAAACAAGGTATTTTTTTTTTTAAATGGTAGATGCATTTGTCATGTTTGAGATAAGACAGAAATATTTTGGCAAGAAAATAAAACAAAAATAGTTAATAAGAGTTGGTCAAGTTTGCTAAAGCATCAATTGTTGTTATGGAGGGGTTGTATCTGTTAGTTCTACAGACAGATAACAATCATTAATGTTTTCTATCAGAAATCATACAGTCATTATATAAAAAATAGGCAGATATCTTGCTTTCTGGTGAAGGTTGTGTTTGTGCAAAAGAGAATCCCTATTTAAAAAAAAACATTGTCAAAGTGAAAGGGTTATAGTCCCTGCATCTCTTATTAACTTTTGAATATTTTCTTTTCATTTTTGTTTTAAGAATAGAAAAAAATGAGAAGAAACATAAATCATGCTTTAGAATTTACCAAAGAAATAATTGCTATTTTTTGTTTGTTTTTTTTTTTTGTGAAATACATCTCTGATTGTCTGGCCCACATCAGCAGTGATATTTTTAGCCATAAATCTTTAGGGATTTTGGGTTTTACAGCATCATACCTCTTCACCACAGCAACCCAAACAATATGGATCAGATAAATAATAAGTAATAAAATGTCGTAACTGAGATTAATATAAAAATAAGATCATATAAATTTCATAAGATGATACTGATACTTGTAGGTACCCTTCTCAGTTGAAATTGAAAAATCAAATTAACTTCTCCACACGTGTTTCGCAAAAGTAAAGGCCTTAACAACGGAGAACAATGCTTAACTCAAATAACGCAACTTAATTATATTCGGGTTGGTCTTCCGTATTTTATAATTACAGCTCGATTATAAGTACAAAATTACATTTCTTAATTACTGGGTATCTTCTGATTAGTCAAAATGATACAATTTACAACGCGCTAAAAAAGATCTATCTCATAAGGACACTTATGAAAGCCGATCTTTTTTTTTTAACTAATTTTATAATAGTTTAACAACTTAAATGTAAAATCTATTATAATTAATGAAATAACAAATAATTGTATTAAAAATTCATTTTTTCATCGAAAAATTTTTTTTTGCTTTCAGAAAATATTGTCCATATTCATAAAAACAACTAAAAGCAAATAAAAGCATTTGAAATTAAATAATATATTTGTTTTATTGAGTTTTGTATGTTACAATTCAGAGCTGATTTTCAGGTACTGCGTATCCAATTAAAACAAAAAAAAAACATGATTTGCATTCCTCAAAGCCCTGTGCTTTTAATTATTGTAATCACTAAAACCAATGCGATCGAATTTCTAGCGTTTTCATAAAATTAGTTAGGGGGGGGGTAATAAATATTAAAAAAAATATTTCTACCATGACTTTCATAAAAAAAAACATATTTATAATAATTTCGATCATCTGTGAATAGTTCCTGAAAGTTTCATTAACATCCGATAATTATTTCTATTTTTGCACAATTTTTCAAATTAATGTGTGTCATACCAAAAAACGTAAAAATTGTCTATGTTATTTACTAGTTCCGTTGATACAAATAGAAAAAAGGTTTTTTAATCAAAATTTAGAATGTTCTAAAAAGAAGGAAAATTTTTAAAATAATTAAAAAAAACTTTGGTCTTTCCTCTTAATAATAACATAAGCATTTAGACAATAAAATTTAGTTTTCGGCAAGTTTGGCGTCTTTTTCATCAAGCTATGCTCTTTTTTTAGCGATTTTGTGGAGGTACCTAACTGTTAGGTCAAATTGTATACCAAGTTATTTTATTGACTAAGAAAAATATCCCAGCATGCATTTATGAACTTCTGCCTATAAAAGGGCAAGGGAAATGTTTTGCAGTAAAAATGAAATCAGCAGTAAAATTGCTGATTGATGGAAAAACAAGATTGGAAAATGCAAATAAGTCAACCAAAACCTACACAAAAATCAAAAAATAGAAAACATTGGCAAAATAAGAACAGAACAATTGATTTTAAGAATGTCACAAAAAAAAAAAAAAAAAGACTTGAGATGAAGTATAATGAGCAACAAAAAAAACTTACAGAGATGGTTTTTAATATGCTGAATATATCTGCGGCCCTCTGCACGGTATCATGAACAATTTCCTGACCCAGCCTGCAGAGAGAGACACTGTTAACTTCTTTTGGCAATTGCTGACCCCCACCAACATTTGAGGAGCTTTGTCCACTGTTAGGAACCAACATACTTGCTCCTGGTGGTTGTTGGGAGCCCATCATGTTGGACTGTTGAGACCCCTGTTGTGAATGACCATGCATTTGCTGTTGCTGTGGAAGTGGCGGGGGTGGTGGTGGTGGTAGAGAAGTTTGGGAACTTGAAGGTGGTTGATTGGTATTTGGGTACATGCCACCACCCACCTGACTGCCTCCATATGGATGGTTGCCTGACATTGTGAAGCTGCAAAGGTGATAAAACAAACATTTCAAACTCACTAAATAATGGATTAAAAAGATTTAATCTGATAGGATTAAAAAGAATTACACTTTCTACAAAATACATTCTTTTTTTAATGTAATCTTAATCTCCTTAACAAATTGGTTCCTTTCTAGCCAGACTAAAAAATATTTTAAGTTCTTTCAAGAAATGTAAATAATATTGTCTGAGATAAAAGTGCTGTTTAGTCATTCCATATCAAATCAACAAGGGTCTGACCATCACCAACACAGATTTTTTAAAATTTGGTACACTTATAGAGCTTTATGATATGAATTGAATGGTACCTATTTTACATCTCTAAGTCAAAGGGTTCCCGAGATATGACTCTTTGACCTAAAAAAAAAAAGTGAATTTTTGGAAAATAGGCACGTTTAAATATCAATATCATAGCTGTTTTTCACCTACAAAGCTAAATTATATACCATTTTAAAGTCCTTGGATAGATCTAGAGGGCAACCTATTTAAATTTTTGTTTTAAAGGTCAATTAAGATAATTTGAATGGCAGATTTTGGTATTTGTCATGATATGCTAACATTTTCATATCTCCCAATATGGTCAAGTTGTATATCTTTAGAAACCTCTTTGAATGCTGATTAATCTTCACACAATAACCATGATCCTGAAATCAACAGAACTTGTGTTATTTGTGGGTAAATGTTGACCAATTTGGTGAAAAATAAACAACCTTATTTTTTTTGGTTCGTTCACATTTTTATTATACAACAAATAAATTTTTATATGAAAAAGTGACATAATGAAAATAATTATTTTAAAAAGTGTCATGAATTAATGTTAAGATAACATAAAATAATATGAAAATGGTTTTAATGATTAACAATTTTTTGTTGACATTTGATATCATACACTAAATGTACAAAACAATAAAATTTTCAGTTTTTCATATATTTAAAAAATTAAGTTTTGGTCTTTAGAGGCTCGTTTAGAGACCAAGCCTCCAAAGACCATGGTGTCCATGAAAAACAGTAGAAATTTTAATTTCTAGGTGAATTGCAGTAAAATTTTGAATATGAAGAATTAATTACAGGGGGACACCAGAATTTTAGAAATACCGAAGTGGGGCATGGTCCAAAATTGGCTGTGAAACTCTGCTATAAATCATGTCAACAAGCTGATAAAAAGATCAAAGAAAATACTGAAAGGAAATCATCAAATCAGATCCTAAGTTTTTTGTTTTTTTAAAGTAAAAGAATAAAATTGTTCTAATTGAATATAATGATGATGGATTCCTGGTGTAAGATGATCAGAGAAGAGCAGACCTCCTAAACGTGTTCTTTGCATTGGTTTTCACAAAGGAGAAAATAAATATCACTAAAGCCAGAAAGATATTCAATAGAGATTTAGAGGAAAAGTTGAAAAATTGGATACTAAATGATGACATTATCTCGAAGAAGCTATTAAACCTAAATCCAGACAGGTTTGCTGGAATAAATGCAATCTCCCCAAAAGTATTAAAAGTAGTTGCACATGCGAAACCACTGTTGAGTATATTTAGAAAGAACTTAGACACTGGTGTTCTTCCAGCTGATTAGAAATTAGCAAATGTTATAGCCATTTACAAAAAAGGAGTAAAGAAATTCCACTCCAACTTCAGACTGATCTCATTATAATGTCAATTGTCCATAAAGTACTTGAATCTATCATACTAGATTCTATTATGACTCACCAAAAGAAATTCAAACTGATACTAGATACTCAGCTTGGATTTATGTCGTAGCTGCCTTGGAAATCTGTTAATATTTTTGGAGGAAGTGACTGGTTCCACTGAGAAAAGCTATCCAGTCAATTTCATTTATTTGGATTTTAGTAAGGCATTTGACATTGTTTGTCATAATAGATTGGAGAAGAAAATCAAAGCACATAGAATATCTGGCAAAAACCAAACATTGGATATCATCATGGTTCAGTGAAAAGCAACAAAAAGTAGTTATTGGGGGTAAGAAGTCAAACTTGTTACATCTTAAATCTGGAGTACCCCAGGGGTCATTCTTGGATTCATTCTTTTTGCAATTTATATAAACAATATTGACAATATAGCACTCTTTCCGTAGGAGGCACGGTGGAGTACTGGATAGCGGCTTGGATTGAGGAATCAGAGAGCCGAGTTCGAATTCCAGTCGAATCCATTACATTCACTTACGTGCTAATATCCTTGGGGAAAGGTATGAATCCTCTTCTTCTCCCTCCAGCTATGGGTAAATAGCAGGACAGACTGGGTTCTATAGCCTTGGATGGCAACTGGTCTAGGAGAAGGAAAACTCTGAATTCAAAACCTGGCGGAGGGTCGTTTGGGGACCTTGTGGCACGTAGTGCACCAGGTCTCTGTAATCGGCCCTTCCAAAAGTGTGGATGGTCCTGCACGAAACCTTCACCACTATAATCAAATCTTATGTGCTATACATGTGGGTTGGGGACAGCTTGTGAATTCCAAATTCCCATGAAACTCCAATATTGAAGCTGGCTCAACCCACCTCAGATGAATGTCGGTACAGGTAGGTAGGTACTCTTTCCAAATTTGCTGGTGATACCAAAAGTCTTTTGAGATGTTCCAGATGTTGTATATGTGTATTATTCACTACAATAAGACCCACATGCTCTGTATTCATGGTGTGAGGACTGGTAACTGTTATTCAACAAAGAAAAATACAAGTATGTTCACTTTGAGTACAATAATTCAGTATATGATGATTTCATTGAAGATGTGATGATAGAATCAAGCAAGATGGAAAAGACCTTGAAATTCATATACGTAACATCAGCCATTAAAACTATCAAACCACATTGTTGAATCAGTAATAAAAAGGAAATAGAATTTTAAAAGTAAAAAGATCACACTCCTATTGAAAATATAATATTGCTGTGTAAGTCCTGAGTTAGACAGATATTGAATTGAGAAAATTAAAACAGTACAAAGAACAATAATCAAAATGATTGATGGATTTTACAAGCATATCATGAGAGGTTGAATCTTTGCAACATTCTTTAATTGGAAGGTAGAAGAGATCATGAGGATCTGCTTGAGACTCTTAAGATCTTGAATGTTTTTTTTTTGTTTTTTTTTATTGTTGTAGAATTCGTAGACTATAAAAAAATATCTTCAAATTGAGAGACAGTGCAAGAAGAGACAGGAAAACAATAATCAAGCACCTGTACTCCTGAACTACTTATTTTTAACAGCAAATAGTCTAAACTTTTTGTTCCCCCACCAAAAGAGAACAAAAAAAAAGTAATTTTTGTTGTTAAATTGCAATGGCTCAACAAGAAAAATTCAACGATTTATTTTTAAATTTTGCATTTTTTGGCAATTTATTTGAAAACTCTTGAATTATCGTTTTTTTTTTTGTTGTTTTTTTTCGTTCCCTAAATAATTTCTTTAAGATGAAATTAAAACTTATAGTACTTTTTTTATTTCTAGTTATAAAAGAGAAAAAAATGTTGCGGTGGACTTAAAAAAAAGAATTATTTTTCCAATTCAAAAAAATAAACTAACTTTTTGTTCTTTTAAAACGGGAAGAGATATTTAATTTCTGTTTATTGTTTAAATAAATAAATACAAACGATATTTTTTGTTTTTAATTAAGACAATGAAAATGTACTTTTTTTTCAGTTGATAAATTAATTAGAAATAAAATGGGACCGAGCCAAAATAACTAAATTTGAAATAAAAGTTGCATTTCGACATCAACACAAAAACGAAAGCAAGCCATGTGCAAATGCCGGCAATATTTATGTCCTACAATAAAAATATACATTCATTTGAACAACTTATTGGGTAATCAGAAATAAATTATAAATCAGAAATAATACTTACAAAGTTTAAAATCTAGAAGGAACAGAAGATTTTATAAATCCTAGAATTATTGCAGCGCAAGAAAACAACTTCTTAATCAGCCATGTCGGGTTGCTTGTATATCTAAGGACAGATAACTCTTGACTTTTTTTAATGGCATCTGTATTGATAATTTTAGCTTTGCGCCAACCTTCAAGTAGACGTTTGTTTCAGTTTACGACGACCAAGGCAAAGGCAAAGGCAAATGCAAGGCAAGGGTCCGTTCACCCCCACCCCACCCCCAAATCTAGTATACAGGGCCCCCACTTATTTTTATAAGGTAATATTCATAAAATACAAATTTTGCTGTAACCTAATTATCAATCATAGGTAAATAATTCAACTGGAAAAATTGAAAATAAAAATAGAATATTTATCTGAAAAATTACAAAGTAAAAAACAAATTACTAATGTTTTGTTATACACCATATTAACCTCAATGGGTTATTTAATGCCGACAATTTTCATTGGTGGTAAAAAATTTTTTCCAAAAATGTATTGTTGGTAATAATTTTTTTTTTACAAAGTATTTCTGCTATTAAAACCTATTTTTACACTTTCATAGTATTTTCATTCCAGTTTCAGTGTTAATTATTTGCCTATAGCTAGGGCCCTAACAGGTGTTACCACCCCAGGTCAGGATGGGCCTGGGAACAACAGCAGTTAAGAGGTGGTGCCACACTCCCCAAAACCTTCTGATCAGTGGCATTGCTGTTGGATGTAGTTTATCATCATACCCAGGAGAAAGGATCTATGTAATGACTCAATCATATTTTCAACATCTTTAGCAAATTATCTTTCCCATCTTTTTGTTGTACAAAATCTATGACAGGAATATAATTTGTTGTATTGTGTTGTTCTACAACATGTGATTAGTAGTCAACTTCTGCCTGTCACTTACTTACTATGCACTTTATATCTCTTTAATATATGCAAATAGGTACAATCCTATTTATCAATTCACTACACCTCCCTGAACTGAAGAGATTTAATTTCATTGTTCTCAAATTTCTACATAATCAGAATTAATCTGTTATTTGAAAGTTTTTAGAACCAAGCTGTAATAAATAAAATTTTATTTCATTTCTATCTTAAATAGTAGCAGTCATTGATAAAATAATAGGGCTCAAAGCTCTGTGTGTATCATTAAAATTCTATAAAATGATCACATCATCTTTCAGTGTAACAAAAAATTTACTCAAAAGTATTTAGATAAAATATAAAAATTAAAAAGGCTCAGGAGAATATATTGTGATGATAGAGAAATAAACAAATAAAAATAAATAACAAGAAGACCAATATTTCACCATCTCTAAAAACAGACAGATAATAAAAATCACCAAGCAAACAAAGCCATAGTTTGGCCAAGCAATCAGAAAGCTTTCATAACCAGGATGTAAAAAAAGAAATAAACAAATAATAACAAGGAGACCAAAATTTTATCATTTCTAAAAATAGATAGTTTGACCATCTAATGAGAAAGTTTTCACAATGAAGATATAGAGCCAATGTGAAGCAGAGCACCCTTTCTCTGCATAGAACCAGGTGGAAAATAAACCAAAATCAGAGTCAATAAATCAATTTTGTCTATTCTTCGATGCTGTGGTCATTGTAATTTACCCAGAGACCAAATATGACATTTGCCCTATTAGCTGCTGACTTTAATCCTGCTAGATTGAACTTTCTCCACCCTTTTAATCAGACCTCTACTAAATTGAAAAGAAACCTTGCACCACATGTTCAAGCAGTGTCTACTACATTTGGATACATACATATATATTTACTTCCACCCAGATTTTTTCTCTACCTCTTATATGCACCAGGACTTTTACACTTGAAACTTCAACTTTCACCTTATCCTTCTTCATTATTATATTGTGATATATAAAGATTTATTACATATTGATTATACTGATGCCATATTATAACATTATTTATTATATCCATTATAATATTGTTATACTCCACTGCAAATTAGATCTCTTTCTGATTCACTCTTCATGTCAGCCAGATGTGAATGCTAAGAAAGCAAATCCTAAAATAAACAAAAGTAATCTTTTGCACAGCAGTTTCAAACTTCTGGCCGACAAAACAAATCCTCTGAAAAATCTAAATTGCAACATAAAAGTTGTCATCAGGGTAAAAAGATGAGTCTGGGAGTCATCAGATTTGCTTAAAAGAAAGCCCCTCATAAGTGCTCAACACAGAATGCCTGCTGTTGACATTGGCAGGTTCTTGTCATCACTACCGTGAGTTCAGTCTAGTAACACAAACAAACATATCCACTCAAGATCCACCCTCCTCCAAACACCCACAGAGACATTCCACTTACATACACTGTATCAGGAAAGCCAGATTCCAGGCCTCTGTTCTCATCACCACTGTGACCTCAGTCAACCAACCCACCAAACACATCAACTCCAGATCTTACTAAGACTCACCTTCCTTATATATCCACTGTAATGGCAGTCTGATTCATGGTTTCACTGTCACACTACAGGCCTCTCTCATCATCACCACCATGACCTTGGTCAACAGATGCGACAAATCCATCAACTCCAGGCCTTACAAACAACATTCTTACACCAAATTGCTTTCCTTACCAATGGCAACTAAAGAACCACATATCAACTGTGTTGTTACCTTTTCACATCACCTCACAAACTGTTTATTGACATTTTCACTTGATCTCCCATCCGACCAGAATCCAGCAGAGATATTTCTGCTCAATCAAACTTCACTAATCCATTCCAGGCCTCTCTCATCATCACCATCATGACCTTGGTCAACCGACTTGGCAACACCTCAACTCCAGGCCTTACTAACTCTACCCACATGCAAAATTGCCACACCTCATCCACATAAAGACATTCTGCTTGGCAAATAAAAATGAATTTTATATTTACAATTTTTGTCTTCTTTTTTTTCACCTCACCAGTGGTATTGTTGTCTCATTTGTTCTCCCATGCTACCATATGCATAACTGTATTCTCTGAGATTTTTGTTTTCTTAATGCTGCTGCTAAAGCTTTACTTTTCTGTTCTATTTTTAATCATTTCACTCCACGCAAAGCAATAAAGCCACTAAGATGTGAGTGGTTACTGAGTGTGAGAGAATATAAGAAAAAGAAAACATTATTAAGGAGAGATAACAATAAAAGAAGATTAGTTAAGACAGAAGATCACATTTAAATTTTTGACAATGAAGAGTTGACTGGAAAGCAAGAAATCAGAAGAGAGTTCCACAAGCGAGAAGTGTGATAGAAGCAACTGTTAGCATAGAACTTACAGATACACTAGCCATTTCAATTGTAAAATGATGAGACCTTGCCACTAATCTAACCTAATCTAATATATTTATATATTAATTCAAATAAATATAATCTAATTTATATATTTATTTTTATGCTAGGTTTATTAAGGAAGCCCACATTGTGAGTTCAATCCCTGGGCTGGGTAGTGCAGATGTAGACTCATTTGAAACAAAACAAGCAATAACAAGCAATAAGACCAAGAAGATATATTCTTAGACATGGACAGTAGAATGAGAATCTATTCTTGTAAATTAAATAAAGTGTCCGTTTGAAATTTGCTGAAGGTTACTTGAATTGACAAGCTCCTGATGTAGGCTGGAGGACAAAATATTGTAATAACAACAAACTCCTCCCTGGTTTTTTGAACAGGAGTAGTGGTTTATCCCTTGTTTCTTGTTCAGGATTAGGCTTCTGGTTCCCTCTCAAGTTTACTTCAACTCTATGCTTCTGACATCACCACCTAAACACTGAAATTTTATTTACTATTTATTTTGGTTTTTCCTTCAGTCATTTGAACAAGAGGTTGCTTCCTGTTGCTTCCTGTTTAAGATTGTGTTTTTAGCTCCTTCTAAAGTCTTCTCATTCTCTTTTACTCCTCTTGAACCTTAGTGGCATTATCATTTTGTTTGAAGTGAAATGATTAAAAAACAAGAAGCATGAGGACAATAGTTTAAATGTAAATAATGTAAATAATGATAACTCCTCATCCTAGAAATTCAGATGGAAATTATCAGCTTCCCTGTTTGTTCTGAGATTAATATTTTAACATATGATCAACCTCAATAAACAGTTTATCTTTGTCCCATTTCAACAATATATAAACCACCACTAATCTGACTCTACAGCAGAAAGCTCCTGTAAACTACCATGGATATTTGCCTGTCCTTCACCCATTTTGGCCAGGTTCTCCCTAAAGATACCTATCAATTGAAACCTGGTGCCAGTGACTGAAGACAGTCACAGAAGTACCAAGTGTTTGATGGTAACAGCAATAGCCGAGGCTTGTACATGATGAAAATCTCTATTCCTATTACTCAACTATTCATGTGTATATGATCTTTCTCTACACCTATCATGTAATTCCGACACCCATGCATGAGGTAGAATCTCAAGATAGACTCTAATCAATATTGTATGGTATGTCACCCAACATGAAAGTGTAAATAAATCGTCCTTTTTAATTTTAATGATAACTCCTCATCTTCATTGCTGTGCATTATTTCGCATTCCTTTTCTGTTAGTTTGAGTTATTATACTGCACATGATACACTTGAACAAAGGCCCTTTCATACACATTGGTACTGTAGTAAATCCAACAAATATGATACCAAAAATGTGCAAAGTATATTAAACAATATTGTAGAGTTTTCCAAAACAAATAATTGGTAAGTAAAAATGATTAGTATATTTAAACAGGTTCATACAAAAGGTTGTCAGGATAAAAGCTCTAGGAAGAAGGGCTGTTTCACAATAAATCAGTCATTTAAATGATCAGAAAAGGTGTTGGGTTATATATTCTCTCTGGACTGTGGTTGTCAATCTGCAATTCTTCAGTAGGGACCCAAACACTGCATCAACAGACCAATGACAAACAATTTTCCTCAGTCCCCTACCATTTCACTTGATTTTGGAAAGAAGAGAGAGAGAGAAAGAGAGAGTAAATGCCAACAGTTTCTTCAGCTACTACCTTTTCTACATGTGTGATATTATTGCTGGTTCAAATTTTCATTGGACCGTAATACTTATTCTAGTCTCCCTGTTGAAACTGTGCTATAGTAGAAAGATTTATTCTCCCATGATATAATAACACCATACTTCACAGACAGAACAGAATGTCTGAAAGGAAAAGAAATGGCAAACATGCTTTGTTCTCAGTGACACTTTTATATCACTAAGAGATACACAAAATTATATATGCATATATACACATGTCCCACGTGGAGAACAATATATCACATATATCTACACCAGGGGTCAGCAACTCATTCGACCCTGCGGACCGGATCGTGTTATAATGACGGGTCGCGGGCCAGACGAAGGTCATTAATGAAAAATTAAGGAAAATTACATATGCAGACCCCTGTCAACCGAAATATTTAAAACCATAATGAAAATAAACATTGAGAAATCAAAAAAAAATCAAAAGAAAATCTAAAATTAAAAAACACCTAACAAAAATTACTTTTCCTCAAGGAACGTCAAAATACTTCAAAGTGAAAAAAAATCAACCGAAGTGAAATGGATGAAATTATGACGTGTAGGTTTGAAACTGTTATTGAAAATTGTTCCACAAATGAACCACACACACACATCAAACAAAAACGAAGCACATATACCCATACATACGAGTACAAATAGTTGCGTACACATGCGGAATCATCCACACATTCATGAGGCATGTATGTATAATGCATATATGTTTAACTGTCTTTAGATTTCTGCTACCTCGCATGTCAGT